ATACTCAAGTCTAAATCAATTAATTAATCATTACATACCAAAAATCTAGCTCCCGCAGGCATGGAAAAAAGGTTGCATCCAGATACACAGAGAGGAGATTTTGAAAATCCTTGGGATTTTGTGTGGAAAATGGATACAGAGTATAATCACTAGCTGGGTACAAATAAAAAGTTAAGATTTAAAAATGCAACACATTTCTACAAAAAACATTTTCTCCTGAGCCTCATTTCTCCATCACAGCATGTGCTGACTACCAGTGGGACGGAGGCAGCAATCCCGCACTTTGGGTCTGCGCCTCGGCTCCTAATGTGCCTCGTCACTCCTGAGGTCCCACTTTCCCAGGTCCAACTCAGGGTCTGCACCTGACAGGCACTACTACTACTTCTTCAGTTACCATTTCTATAGTTCAAATTCCTCCAGAGAGATTTCCACAGGCTGAGACATGTAGTCTGCAGGAGCCTGATTTAATCTGCCCCTGCATTTCAGTCCTTCACAGGATGCTTCATTCCATTAGCCTACTCACCATCTTCAGATTTACTACTAATAACAACACTACAGAGGCCTAATGTTGTAGCAATTTCCCAAAATTATTTTGAATTTTTCCAGAAAAAACTCACATTCCTTTTTCCTAAAACTCCTGTGTGTATAACCTGACCACAATGTGGCTTTCCTAAAGAACTAAATTTCTAACACCTTTCAACTAGAATAGAGACTGGTAAAAATTTATTTTAGTACATTTATTAATTGCCAACTAATCTCCTTTTTTCTTAGCAGCTAACTGAATTTGAGCAAACCCAACAGTGATTTCGGCTCAGGACATCAGTCTTACCTGTGAAGGCATTCATAAAAGTGGATAATGACCTGTTCAACATTTTGAAGAAAGGATCTCTACATGGGTATTTCTGAGAGCCACAAAGGACCGTATGCTCAAGAATATGCGGAACACCAGTGCTATCCATCGGAGTGGTGCGAAATTGCACACTAAGGCAAAGAAAAAGAATAATGGGAAAAGTTACACTTAGTAATGCCCAACAGAGTTCCTAAACATGAGACTACCTCGGATTATTAGAAACAATCATTATAATATAATCTTTTAACAAAATGTTTTTTAACTATAAAGTATAAGATCACTGATTCAGACTGTAAAACTTTAATGTATTTAGATGAGGATGTAAATAGACGTAATCTTTCCCTTATATTTTTGGGATGCTCTGTGTATAAAAATATTGAGATATTATTTAAACTTCTTAATTTTAGGTAGATGTTTTAAACAGAAACATGCAGAACATGATTTACAACATATCACATACCTGAACAAATTATTTGTGTCTTCTCTTGCCACATGTAAATACTTAGCCCCTGTGTCATCGTGGCTGAGCTTCACTGCAGTCAGGAACAGTTCAGGAACAGATGTCACCTTAGTTAAGAAGAGAAGCATGAGCAGCCAAACGTGGATGCCATGTCACTCAAAATGGTTATCTTAAATACACTGAGAGCTGGCCTGCTGCCTTAAATTAGACAAAACTAGGAAGCTGGCATTTCAGATCTGAAAGGGACAGAACCATCTTGTCCAAATCCCTTAACTGAGGATATTAAGAATTAAAAAGGGCTGATAAGAATGTTTACTTTTTTTTTTTTTGAGTGCTTATTATTTGCTAGGCATTTTCTATACATGTCACATATAACCTTGGGAGGGAGGTATTCTCCTCCCCATTTACAGATGAAAAGCCTGAGGCTCAGGGTTTGAGTGCTTATTATTTGCTAGGCATTTTCTATACATGTCACACATAACCTTGGGAGGGAGGTATTCTCCTCCCCATTTACAGATGAAAAGCCTGAGGCTCAGGGTGATAACATGAGCCGCTCAGATCAACAGAGCCAGGACTCACCCTGGTGCCTGTGTCCTTCCCATCGCACTATGCCAGCCTTGGTAATAAGGCTCACCCTGGCAGAATATGCCATGGGTCTCTTGCTTTTACACACGTCACCTCATGAAATGCTCAGAACAGCCATGCAGGGAAGGTAAATGCTGGCATGGGCCTCAGCCTGTGAAAGGAAAGGGACACCCCAGGAATAAATGTCACTTCTTCTACTTTAGGGAGTTCTCAGTGGTTAAGTGGGGGTGTTACCAGCCACTTGTACCTAGAGGAAGAACCAGAATGCACACAGCCAGGGCCTCCAGAACAGCAGCAGGGGACCAGAGGGTATAAATGCTCCTGGGATGGGCGAGGGGCATCATCTCTTGCTTTAGGTAAGCCCTGTGTGAGTGTCCACAGTCCTTGGTATTAAAGAAATTGTCACCTTCCAACTATGTCAGTGATGGATCTTGGACGTGACCAGTGCCACTGTGCACACAATAAGCACAAAATAGCCGCCGGCCTTGTCTTC